ACAAAATCAACAAAATCAACAATCATTACAAAAACCACAAAAGGTCCATGGCAGAGGTTGAAAACCCGCTACTAACCAACAAAGGATACTATTTACCAAGGGGGTATAGTTGTGATCAAGTGGTATCCCCACCAAATAATAATGGATCTTTAGGAAATAATATAAATATAAATAATAATAGTATGAATAATAGTATCAGTAATAACATCAATAGCATGAACAATATGAATAATAGTTTTTATAATACAAATAATAGTCAAAATATATGTAATAATATTCAAAATTTTTCAAATCAAAACAATAATTTTTTATTTCCACAGCAAAATATAAACAATAATAATATATATTCAAGTAATGATAGCATCATACATTATAACTATAATAATAATAATAACAATAATAATGGGGTATCTTATAGCAATAATAAAAAAAGAAGTATAGATTTAGTTAATGAAAATAGCAACAGTAATAATATATTACAAAAGAAAATGTATATAGAAAATCAAATTAAGCCATCAAACAGTTGTAGCAATAGTAAAAACCTATCAGAACAAAACAAAAATATCGATTTTATAAATCATTGTAGCACTAATAATAGTAACAATATTAATAATAGTTCTTTTACATCACAAGAGTATGTTTTTAAATATGTTAATAAACGCAAACCTTTTAAAAACTAAATATTAATACCTTTCTTTCTTTCTTTTTTTTTTATTAGCTCTAAAGAAATTTCATATTGTGAAGAGCCATATTTTTCATCATCAAACTCTTCTCCATACGTTTTTTTTAATTCCAGGGTTCAAAAAACTGTAACAAACCAACAGGTAGATGAAATTTCACTTTTAACTACTCCTTGTGGAAGTAGTAATAGCACTTCACCATCCTCAATTAGAAAACCTACTTTACAACAACAACAACAACAACAACAACAACAACAACAACAACAAGTACAGCAACCAACCCAACAAAACCAACAACAAGTACAGCAAATTAATCAAAAGCAACATCTAATGCAACAAAGAATTTTATCTAGCCAACAACCTCAATCTCAACAACAACCACTACAGCAAACACAGCAACAATCTCTAAATAAGTTAAATAATTATAATATGAATAATAATATAAACAATAGTATGAATTATAGTATGAACAATATGAATAATCATTTAAATAATAATAATAATAATAATAATAATAATAATAATAATAATAATAATAATAATAATAATAATAATAATAATAATATGAATTCAATACAAAAAGGAAAAACTATTCAACAGTCTAATCAACAACAGCAAAAAAAAGTAAGCTCACCTCAAATTTGTAAGAATTCAAAACCATCAAATTCTTCAAACTTAACAGCAACAGGGAATATAGCAAACCCAACGAACACTGCCATAACAAATTTAAAACCAAGCAATATTGCACAAAACCAATTTATATTGATCAGCGATAATCTCAATTTCTTTAAAACAATTACCAAAGATTTTGCAAACCAGTCCTCTGTTTTCCCTTTTGTACATTATAAATCTGTTGCTTGTCCAACTTTTTCTAAAACCAGGCTACATTACTCACTATCACCATTTTTACCCATTGAAAAAGAAGTTATTGCCATTATCAATCATAATAACAATATAAATAATAACATTAACGGAATCAATAATAATCATAATATTGGAAATAACTTTATAGATATCAACTATAACAATCAAAACAATGTTAAAATAAATGGCAATATTAGTCTGAATAGTTTAATAATACAACAACAACTACAACAACCCATGAACCCACAAAACAATATTATAAACAATAATATTAACAATAACAATAACAATAATAATAATAATAATAATAAAAAAAAAAAGAGATCCCAAGGCTATTGCGAGTGTTGTAATTCAGAGTTTGAAGTTTTAAAGTCTCATCTAGAAAGTAAAGAACATAGAGGATTTGCTGAAAAAGATAAAAACTATATAAAGATAGATCAAGTTATTCAAAGTATTTCGAATGACTCTTTTTTTTCGATTGATAAAATGTGGTGTTAAATCTTCCTCATTTTTCGAGTTTTATATAATATAAATAATAACAATATAATAATAACAATAATAGTTAATTATAATTTAATAAACAAATTTATAGATATAGAATATATAAAAATAAAATTTTATGTATTACTATTCCCTTTTTTTTTTTTTATAAAACTATATTTTTTCCTTTTTTTTTTATAAACTATATTTTCTTTTTTTTTTTTTTTATAATATTATATTTATTTATAAAATTTAATAATCATCACCTCTTGATAAAACTTCTTTAGCAGTTGGTCTTAATAAAAGGGTATGTTCATATTGAGCGATATAAGAGCCTTTAACATCAACTAATGGTGGGCATGGTAAGACAACACCAAGGTCGCAAAGATTCTTTAATGCTAAAATATGTTTATCTTCACCAGCTTGATCTAACCATCTACGACAAAAAGCAAGACTACCATAGTTTTTATTGATAAATTGTAATAATTGTTTTGATTTTGGAAGTCTAACGTTGGATGGATATTCTTCATTTCTCATGTAATGCGAACATTCTAAATCTTCAACTACATGACCTCTACCGGTTGAACCAAAAGTTTCAATTGCATAAAATTCACCTTCTTCCATTCTTGTCATTTCACCACCTCTAACGATTGGTACGGTCTTACCACCATGAATAACGTATGGTCTAATTGAGTGACCATTAAGATTACGAATTGATTTAATTGGATAAACTTTGCCATTTAATTCGATTTCATAAGACTCCATAGTTTCTTGAATGTATGCACCAATTTCACCTATACGAGCATCAATACCGGCATGCATAATACCAGTGTTGGTGGCTTCACGAACAGCCTCTTTTAATGTGTCGTATTTGGGGTCAAAAGTAACAGTGAAAGCTGAATCAATAATATAACCATTTACGTGTGTACCAAAATCTATCTTTAAAACATCATCTTGTTTTAAAATAGTTTTATCACCTGTGTTTGGAGTGAAATGTGCTGCGATGTGATTAATTGAAACACCAGTTGGGAAACCCCAACCAGCTTTTAATCCGTCTGCTCCAACCAATGTTTTACTGGCATCTTCTAATTTTGTAACTAATTCCATTAATGAAATACCTGGTTTAATAAATGAATTGACATACTTTCTAACATCACGATGTGCTTGGGCACCACGACGTACATCATTATAAATATTTGCTTGTAATCTTTCCTGTTCTCTTAATTCTTCTGATGTAGTACGATATGAATTTCTTTATAAAAATAAATAAATAAATAAATTAATTAACAAATTATTATAATAATGAATAAATGACCTATTAGTAATAATAACTACATACTCATTTTTATATTCTTGAATTTCACCCATTGGGAAAACACCATTTGAATACATTTTAGAAACTGGAATAGTTGGTGGATTAGTTTGGACTAAACCTGATGGAATTGATTTACCTTCAAAAAGATCGTTCATCGATGCTGCTACTGCTGGTGCTGCTGCCTTCTTCTTCTTCTTATTTTTCTTTTTCTTTTTTTTATCGCCTGTTGCTGCTGGTGCTGAACCATCAGTAGTTGGTGTGGTTTCTTCATCATCTGAATCCTCTTCCTCTTCTTCAGCTTTAGCTGGTACATCAACTTTTGGTGGAATTTCTTTTTGTTCTGTGCTCATTTTTTATCTATTTATTATTATGTATAAACAAAATAAATGAAAAAATAAATAAAATAAAAAATAAATTTAAAAAAAATTTAAAAAAAAAATAAAAAAATAAATTAAAAAAAAAATAATTTTAAAAAAAAATAAATATGAATGTTTGTTTTATTATATTTACCAATTATTGTTTATTTATTTGTTTATTAAATATTTATTAAACTGTTGATTAATTAATAAATTAGTTTTTTTTAAAAAAAAAAAATATTAAAAAAAAAAAAAAAAAAAAACCGAAAATGAAAAGTCATTATTATTCGAAATTTACAAATTGCAAGGAGGGGTAATAAAAAAAGAACCCCAAAAAAATAAATAATTAAAACATTTTAAAACAGATAATAACACCTTTATAAACTTTAATTAATAATTATCACACATATTTTTAAAAAAAAAAAAAAACACACATAAATAATTTTTTTATTTTGTTATGATAATCAATTTTACAAAAAAATTACCTTTATTGAATTTATCAAAACAAATAAATTTTAAATACATTAAAATTGTAT